CGCAGGTGCCTGGAGGCAGAGTTGCGCTGCCGCAAGTCGGATACTTCCCAGCGGGACATGAGGTGGGCGCTTTTTCGACAGGTGATTGTGGAGGCGTAATCGGATCGTATGTCCAAGGCTTGTAATCCACACACCACTCGCCAGGCTTTTGACAAGCATCTTTTGAACAGCATCCATTGAATCCTGTGGACTGGCACTTGAAGAAATATTTCCCGGCAGGACAATCGAATGACTGGCTAGGAGAGGTTTGCTTTTTAGGTGTATATGTCCAAGGCTCGTAGTCTGGGCACCATCCATTATTTGGTACATTGCAGGCGTCGACTCTACAGCAACCCTTGAAACCATTGGAGGCGCATGTGAAGAAGTTGCCAGTGCCTCGAGCACATGTACCTTGAGATGGAGGAGGCGTAGAAGGCCCGGCTGGATGAGGGTACGGGTTAGATCCTCCATACTTGGAGTCGTAGGTCCAGGGATAGTAGTCAGGACACCACTGGCCGGCGGGAAGAGAGCAAGCGTCAACTGAACAGCAGCCGTTAAAGCCATTCGAAGCACATCTGAAGAAGTTTTTGCCCGACCCTGGTGGGCACGTATTTGGTGGAAGTTGAGCACTGGCAAAACCGGCAAGTGCCAGTAATCCTAGGAAATGGTCCAGCATACTTCGGATTGATGGAAGTGAAGAGTAGAGATGAGACCGAAGCTTGGAGAATGTTCAACTTAAAGTATCGAGAAAAGAATGTTCAGTGGACTTGAAGGCCGCGATTTTCTGGCAGAAAAGGGAATGACTTAAGTAGAGTAGGAGCAAGATGAGCTGGGGGCCACATGCAAGATAATTTGGTAAATCAGTGGCAAATCCCTATGTTAGCAGCGCTTGTACGAAAAGCGAAAGCTGATGCTTTGAGGGCATCAAGGCTGAGAGGCTGAGCAGAGGGAGAAGGGAATGAGGTCTTCAGCTGTGACCACAAGTCTGCTACGAGTAGAGTTGAGCCAACACCATCCGTGCTCTAAGCTATGTTCTGTCTGAACTGGGCTCACTGCATAAGGATTCGAAGCGAGGAAAGGTGCCACATGGCCACCAGGTGGTTCTTCCCTATCCGATGAGCGGATGGGCTGAAATGTATCTCACGAAGCCTTTGCATATCAACCGCAGCTTTCTTTTGGATGATGCCATATTCGGACTGAAAATTGACCCCTATTCGCGGACAGGCCATTGAAAAGAGCGTTCTAGCTTTTGGAACGCGGTCAGCAGCATTTACGGAGCCAGAAGTGCAGCTGTATTGAGCGGACATCTCATGTCAGGTAGTTACGATTGACAGGGTGGAAAGGGCCAAGGGTAGTTGGTTGTACAAGAATGCATTAGCTTGTTGAGATTTCCAGAGGAATCGATAGGTAGATTGCAGAATATCTTGCCGCGTCTTGTGCGCGGTGTCTGCCGTGAATTACCGGGTCCTATTGGTTTTGTTCCAGGTTTGTCCTGTTTGCCGCAAGTCATTCTGCTGCGCTGGACAAGGCCATATTTTTTATCAGATGATTCTTTATTTTCTCAGGCTGTGATAGGCCAGTGTAGCTCAGCTCAACTTGGCATGTTTGTGGTTGCTATACTCTTCTCTCAAGCCAAGCCTTCTGCCCAGGGATGCTGCGGGGAAAGGCTGAAGGCTGAAAGCCGAAAAAGGAATTAGCTAGGTCGCATTTTATAATGATGCTCCAGACAGAGCCAGCGAAGACACTTGTAGGCGTAAACGAGTCATCCAACCGCTTCCTGGGCTGCGATCTGACCTGCTTGAGAGACGATGAGGTCAAGTTCTGCGGTATGCCTGATGTTCAGCGGATACAGCTGGGCTTCTGAAAGTGTGTAGCGAGCATGCTTTGATTCATGGGGGTCAAAGCACGACACCCAACCCTTCGTGTAAATTTTGCTGCTAGCACAGCCTCGGCCTTGAAATGGAAGCATACTTATTGCGCGCGTGAATGCCAGTCCATGGCTCCTGCACTTTGATTTTCCTGATTCATCCTCGACAACCATGGTCAGACTTTTGCGCATAGTGCGGACGTGGATTCCGTTGCTGTGGACCATACTTGCACTTATCCTCGTCTTGGTGATAGCGATACCCAGAAAAAGGGCCAGTGGCAACATTACTGTACTCGGGTCCCTGGCAAGAGTAAGAAAGTATGATCTTTGCGATTCAATCAAGACTAACAGAGAGTTAGATCGACGCCTCACAGGTCATAACAGAGACTGGAACAGGCAGGTATCAGGGTCTTCCAGACTCCCACGACTTTTCCAAGCACAAGGACTTCTTCATCTTGTATCTCTCAGGGTATTGTAGTGGAAAAAAAGTCGGCGACGAGTACAAATCCGACTCCTGCTCAAGACCTGGACAAATGTTTGACCAATACAATGTGTGGAAGACGTGGGGTGTGAACTTGGCCGAGACCCGGAACTCGGCTCGTGGAATCCAACGCGCCATTGGAGTGACTGCGATCAAGACAATGCCTGGGGCGATATTCATCACAATGAAGCTGTTGGTTGTTGCTTTTGCTCTCACCACATTGGTGGGTATCATCAGTCCGTTTTCGCATTGGGCCAAAGTCTTGGTGACGATCCTCTCTACTGTATGTGCCCCCTGTTTTACCGTGTCATTGGAGAGGTACTAAAATCAATTTAGATTTCATCATTGTCGGCTTTCACGGTTGCAAGCATGTGCGAGTCACTTTACCCAACACTTGCGAAAAGGGTTGACAACTACCACCCAACAGCCAAAGGCGTGATGACTTCGCATGTGGGAAGGAATACGCTTACGAGCTTGTGGATAGTGTCGGTGCTGAGTTTGCTTGCCACCTTGTTTTGGATCATTGATGCTGTTCGACGCAGAGAGAGGGCGGTATCGAGAACAGGGACAGCGAAAGGAGGTGCGTCGATGTACGAAGTACCCAAAATTGTCCGAAGAGCGACTGGGGGACTATTGGGTGGAAACAACAGATATGAGAACACCTCTTACGACACACTTCGACCAGCTCCGCGGGAACCATCTCGCGACCCTTCGCGTAGTGAGTCCCAGGAGGAATTGACGGGCAAGGTCATACATCGACGTATGCATTCTTGTGAGCCTTCTGTTGGTCGTTCTCGCATGGTCTCGGATGAGTCGACCGTGCTCCATGACTCGGAGGACATTTTAGACGAGAAAAGTATGCCCCAGTCTCGCTACGAGCCGTTCCGCCACCGAGATCTTCCTTGATGGGCGTTAGCAAGATTTCGAGGTGTCGAAGAGGTGATTGGTGATCTGGTCAATTTTGAGGAAACGAGGTCAATGTACGGGGTCATGACGGGTTTTCCTTTTCGTGCGCTTATTGCGATGATCCAATGAAGTTTTCGGTCTCCTTGGGCTGTGCTCAAAGTCTTTTTTTGAAGCCCATGCTGTCCCACATCTGTACTCTGGCGATATGAAATTGTCCTTCTGCGCGCACAGTGAATTATGCATCTGTATCACATCGGAGTATAGACTTGTAGTCCAGCACTCGTCAATTTGCTGCTATGAGCAGCTACCTCTCTTCGACCTCCTTGAGCCTTTGTACAAACCAATCGACGAGCTCTTTTGCGGTCTCACCGCATTGGTCCACAGAGGACTTTGCACAGAATCTGCATACGAGGCTTGAAGTACTGCAGCACCAGAAGCCTTTGAGTGTAATCAGAGCAATAATCTCGTCAAGCAGGCGCGGTTTCAGAGACCATCTGTGGTCTTACATAATCCAGTGATCATCTGATATGACTGTCAAATCATTGGCCAAGCCACGGCATGTGTTTCTGACGATCACATCATCAGGATCAGACCCGTACTTTGGCGGGTAGAAAGAGACATGATCGAGCCCAGCCCAATGTGAGCAACAGAGGTGTTTCAAGCGATGTACTGACTGGCGTTGTGCCACAGGAGGCTGAATATAGACGGACAAGTGTGGTGAAGACCACTTGGAGTTTTGAGCACTGCGGGTGGTTGCGTTCCTTGGATCGAGAAGAATCGACGCAAGTTATTTTGCCGAAGTTCGTATGGAAGATCTCAGAAGCGATCAAAGGCAGATTCTCCATGTAACGGAGTCGTGGGCGGTGCTGAATTATTGTACCAGAGGTACTCATCCTGCCGTAAGTCTATTGAACCCGTTAGCGTTTGTGGGGCCCCTGGAGCTGCGATCCTGATCACCTTGGTGAGAATGGTCGATGACTGTTACATGTCAAGACTACTGCAGCTTTTTTATGTTCTAAGATTTGCGAGAACGGATCAGTGGAATGAGGAGATCTTCTGACGACGATAGCTGAATAACAAAGTGATCGAAGAAGTCAGATGCATCGAATGAGAGGAAATTCAGGACTGGTCATATAGTCATAACCACATGATCAGGCAAGTCGGCTGTCGAGCGCGAGTGACCAAAGTGGAAGCGCCATTGTTGTTATTAAGATAAATTAGGAAAAAGAGTTGATGGAGTAGTTGTAGACTCACGATTGAGATGAGATGAGAAGGTCGGGCTTGGCAAGCCTCGGCATCGGATTAGGTAAGATCAGAATCGAGGATGTCAACACTCGGACTGCCGCAATCCTTCGATGGACCTCCAACAATTGTCTTCACCATTTCCCTCAAAAACACTTGTACTTTCCGAATTTCTCAAATGTTGCAGATGCAGTGATCTCGCAACAGTCTCCTCTCGACCCGATCTGGGCAATCCTTAGCAAATCTGAGAAGCTCCAAAGACCTGGAATTACACGGAACGTTTCCGACAAATCCTCAGCATCACCTCTACGATCTTGGCTGCTGCCGTACGACATGATGCGACTCATCAAAGACCTCATAACTAACGACCCGAAGTCAACGTCGGCTCCCGAGAAAGCGGAAGCAAGCCCGACAACGCGAGCCAACTGACTCCTAGACATAGTCGTGAAGCTTCAGACTCTTAGGGATAACAAGCATCGGCTCTATCAGTTAAGTGCGTCGTGGAATCTTCCGACCGACAACGTCGGCTCTATGGTCTAGTGGTATGATTCCTGCTTTGGGTGACAGCATCTGAAGTGCAGGAGGCCCCGCGTTCGAATCGCGGTGGAGCCCCGTCTTTTGCTGTTCTTCCTTCTCCAGTAGTATTTTTTGCCTGGTGTGGATGGGATGCAGAGTTGGGATGATCCTTGGCTGAACTATGCTGTTGAAGCCGCCTTTATCCAATATGTGTAATCAAACCCACTGTACATCGCCAGCTGCAATCATTTGGCGGCTCAATAGGTAAAGTCACAGGCTGACCGGCAGCCTTTTGTGCAATCTATTTTTGCGCTCAACACGCTTGTGGTTGACCAGGTTTAGATACAGCCTAGACTGACCCTTTGAATCACTTTCGTTCTTTGCATTGAGCAGGCGGATACGCCGATCTCGGTCACATCTCTTTAAAGTGTAATTCTGATTCCATTTCAGCGGTCCTTGCATTGCAAGTCTTGTAGCCTTCAATTCTTTCTTCCTGGCTATTCCAATTTGCAATGAAATGTCGGGGTTCTATTTCAGGAGCGCTGCTCAGTAGCGCATGTTTCTGCCAGGACTCATTTCGATGCAAATGTATGGCAGGATGACATCAGTTTTATTCAATTCTAGTCAAACTTCAAATCGGGCCCTCGATATATGGCAGACGCAATTGGTAAGTGATTGAAAGTGGAGGAAAGAAATCTTTAAATTGCTGAAGTCGCGTTCTTCTGGAGGTAGCTCTTACGAAAAGAGCCTCATTTCATGGGAAGAACCTGCTCTCATTGAGCGCCTTTGAGCGATTGCGAAAGATTGCAGAGTGCTTGAGAGTTGGAGCGCAAATTACCTAGAGATTGAAAGTCGAAGGAACGTGGGAATCTTTAGGCCATGTTCTACGGTAGCTAGCGTGTTTCTATTTTAGGAACCATCGCAACTTAGTAAGCTTCGATTTTTTACCTCCACTAGCGAAAGACTTCACCTTGTCGCATGAATTGATCGCCGTTCAATCTCACCGCCAGGGCCTAGAGGAGTACTCCAGCGGATGAAGAGCTTTCGCTGAGTCATTCAAGACCGTCAGATAGCCTATCCAGGTCCACCGACCTCCGCAACTCGGGGTCAGAGCAAAGCAAACATCAGGTCGTTCAAAAGCTTCCACCTCCCTACGATGTCTCTGATAAAGCCGCTGCAAAGCGCCGAAGTCGCCTCAGTCAGAGTTCAATTCATTTCCTGAAAGACGATTGTGGGAGCTTGCGCATGATCATTGAACAACGCAAATGAATTACTTTTCAGAATACAAAATTGGAATTGTCAATGTCGCACTCGCCGAGTAGGAACAATACTTGTCGTCCATATATCGAGATGCTCCGAAACAGTACAGAGTCTTTGAATGGGTCGAATATGCATCGAGACTGGGCAAAGGTCGACGAGGTTAAGAGCCGGGATTGGACACGGGAGGTTGCGAATATTGGACACAACCTTGGCATGCCAGCAAACAGTCCTGCCGGAGACCAGATCTTCAAGTCGCCAGTGGTCAGCTCTGAGCATACCTTTGGTCGTTGCGGCTGCTAAAAATTGCTTCACAGTCGTTGCCAACACCGTCATCTGCAGCTACTCCTTTTTGGTCGGTGTACCATCTGAAGCGTCCAGATCTCGCAGTAGCTAACATTTTGAGACGGCTCTCTACGCTCGGTTGAAGGAGGGCAAGCGGTACGGGACGCGACGCCGCTTTGATTCGACACTCGCAGGCCACGCGTGAGAGACATGTGTGATGATATCGATGCCAGGACCAAAATTCCATGAAGACTGTTCTTAACGTAGATACAGCATAACGTCAGTGTTTCTTGGCCTTTCTTTTATCACCAAGACTTTCCAGGATCGCGGATTTTTATTTAATCGAAGAGCTGAAAGACGTCAAGTGTCTCATCGTCGAGATCAAGTAAGGTTTGTCTGGATATGCTTCTCATTCTGCTTCGCTCTTCTCGGATCCTCTCGGTGTCTTCTATTTGTTTGGCGAAGCGCTCTTGGACTGTCAGCGAGACACCGGGATGATAGTAACTTTCAACTATGATGCTCTTTCCACCGCCGACGGTGGTATGGTTCACAGCAAGCAGGAATGCATCCAGATCGAGCTTGCTACCGAAACAAATCCAGCTTCGACTCAATTGAGCTTTTCGAAAGCTGTCGGGCCGAGTGTGTGGGTTGCGAGCTATGCCGGTGCCTGCCGTGATTGGGTTGAACGATGAAAAATAATTATACACTTTCCCTGACGTGTCTAGCGCAGGAGGTAAAGGTGTACAGTCGAGCGTTCGTAGTAAAGCTGTGAATGGGTAACGTTCTTTAGGTCTTGGCCTGCCGTAAAACAGGACCAGTCGCTTCGATTTCTTAGGAATACTCATAGGCGCTGCATCAGGCGGGAGTGACATTAACGAGGCTAAGATTGCCAGCGTGTATACGACATCATTAGCGGCTCGATGTGGTGTTTTGTATTGCCTGTCCTTGGAAGCTGGCACGCCTTCATTGATGCCCAATGCGAACAAGCTCTTGCGAAGGCTGGGATGCTGATTATCGGACACATTCGCCATAAGTTGTTGGACGTCCACATAGGCGGCGAACTGATCCAAGAGAGAAGGACAAGTCTGCGACGCCCACTTCATCTCGGTGCGGCTGTCGAAGACTACCAGTATTCGATCCGATGAGTTCTGTTGGTGGAGACAGGCGGAGATTGTGGATTCGATGTCTTCGTCAATGCGAGTTGCCTCCTCTCCAAATCGCAAATGCTCGCTTGTCTTTTTGTGGCTGCGGGCCGGCTCTCTTAACGTAATGGTCGAACAGCTGATCTTATTTGTTTCGACGAAGGATGTATACGTATGTCCATTTTTCAGAGGGTGAAGTTGAGAGCATATCGCTAGTCCGACTTCACTGGCGTTATGGTCATCGCCTTCAATGTCAATGCAAACCAGAGTCGTGGAGCCTTCATTGAAACGCCGTTTAAGGTCTGAAACAGTGGAGATCGATGGCAAATCTTGAGCCATTTCAACTGTAGGGTCGTGCCAGCTGCTGGAGATGCTTGAAGGTGGCAATATTTTGGATAAGGTTTGTACGGTACCGAAGTTATTGAGAGAGACGCAGGCTCAAGAGAATCAGGAGCACCGTGGCTTCAGTAATTCCGTGTCCCTCTGCCTCCAGAAAAGCGCGATGTATTTTGAGACTTTGGTAGCTTTCAAATTAAAACCAATACTGATAATTTTCTGGAGACCTCGAAGAGTATTCTCACCAGGAACTGTTCCGTCTTCGTCTTGAGATGAAGGTGAGAATTATGGTTGAGATGTTTCTGGAGGGACATAGAACTAGTGAGGCCGCTGTGGGGGGCAATATGTAGGCAGGCACGGTAGGATAGTGCGGAAGTGCCAAAGCGAGCTGGTAGAACGAGGCAGAAACAGGCTTAGCGCGAAATGATAGGTCACTTGCATTGACTATGAGATACCTCCAACCTTCGAACCGGGCCGATCAAGAGAAGTCCAATCCGTTCCATGACATCGAAGCTTCTCTGAACTCTCTACAAAGCATTAAGATCATCTTTTTATCAGTGTTAATGTACTCACTATTAGTCGCCGGATGAACCCATACATTATTGTTGTCAATGTCAATATCAATCCATATAGCATCAGTCTTGCTTCAGTAATCCACACACGTGCCCCTTCTCGACGCATACAAAATATTTCTCATCATTACGAGCACGCAGAAGCCTCTCCCGTCCGGCGTTTATACATCACAGCCTCCTCTCGTCAACGAAGATCCGCAGGAGAACATAGTCATCCTCTCACCTCTCCCTCGCGAAAGGATAGGCGGGGCAGGTAAAGACCGCAGCTGAGGATGTCTGGGCTCATTACGAAGGCACAATCGCAGGATCTGATCTCGAACTCACCTAGAGCATGAAGATGCCGGAAATAACGAAGGATTCCATCCGATTCATCATTAATTCGTGCTCGACCATTCATAAGTTTCCCTCGCTGTTGCCGCTATCATCGATGGTGCATCGCTTTTGCGCCGGCGACATGCGAAGTCTTGCGGTAGAGTATAAACCGCCGGTCCAATATGCGTGAGAGTTTAAAGACGGGGTCGCTAGTTCATATGTTGATGACGCAAAAGCGGTGCGTGGGGTCCGAATTGGAGGTAGCTGCCAGTCTCTGCTAACTTTGGACAGAGAGGCAAGGTGGACTATGGCCGTCAGGATCCCAACTATTGTACAAGCCAGTCTTCTGCCTGGACTCATCAGTTAGGAAAGGGTTTGGGAACTGTTATATCTTGGTGGCTCATCTAGGCTTCGTGCAGGCGAACGAGCAAATAAGATGAAGGACCCCATGTTCACCGCCTTTGATCGTTGCCGTCATACGAGCTGTAAAATAGGATGTAAGCCGTGCAAAGAGAAGCATGAGCCACTAGAGATACAGCTCTGTGGCTTACGAATAGATAGGGGTGCCACCATTTCCAGCCTCTTTCAAAACGCCAATTATTTATCACATCTGCTTTTGGCTACCCGAAAACCCCCTCTGGTTTTCGCATCTCTTGTAGTAGTGACATTGCCTTCCATTATCATAGTCCAGCTCACTATCATCTCTTCCACCTCGGCAGGCACTCTTTCCGTCACAGCAGCATGTACCCGATTTTCGGTCAACATGGCACTTCCTCTGCTTATCAAAGACTGAAAAATCGCATGGCATGTGCACCACGCTTCCTTCCCATTCACAGCAACGCATGTCTGAACCACGTTCTTCGCCTGAACGAGCCGCGAAATCTCATCACTGATGTCCCAATGGATAGCCTCGGGTAAAAAGAGCAGATCTACGATCTTATCGTCGATAATGTGGTGGACTGTGGCCAGTGCTGAGTCCTCCCACCCTTCGGGATCTCTAGAGGCCATGATGAACCATACATAGGTGTCATCTGATTGATCGGACAAAGAAGCCATATAACGCTCGCATTGCGATTGACATGGCAAAGGCGCAGCGATTTTTTTCTAGAGAAGTGTTCGATCTGCCATAAATCTCGATCTTGATATCAACCAATAAAGAGAGACAACATCTGGCTGCATCCGGGAAAGAAAT